ATAGAGGGGAAAATACTAGGTGGGTGCCAACAAGTGACTGAGTTGAGAATGAAGGGGGATGATGGGTGGGTAATAGGTGATTCCATATCTTTCTCTTGGATGTGCAGAAATAAGGTGTGTAACAGGAATGGCTTGGATGAGCTTTGTTTTGGAATCATTGAATCGGAGACATCTCCGATGAGACATGTAGGAACAGTGTCCAGTTAGAAACATGGGCAGATCTCTGGAAGGACTGACAGCCATCAGAGCGCATAGAGGAACCAGCTGTTTCCCAGCCAACTATAAGAAAACATGGAACCAATTGTGTGTAGCTGGGAGTTAGTTCATCCAGGTGTCCTACAAGAGAATGACAACAAGATGGTACCCAGAAGAGAAGAGAGATAGCAAGAGAATTGCAGGGAGAAACTTTTCCAGGGATAAGTGGAAGAAAGTCTCTGGCAAAATAAATAAGTATAGTCTGGTACTGGCCGCTCACACTTGTAGTACTAGTTACTGAGGAAGTTGAGATCCAAAGGTTGTGGTTTGAATGAAGACAGCTGGGGTGGGGGAGGGGGAGGTCCATAAGACTTCCTTTAACCACCATTAACATCTACCATTAACCACCCCCTAAAAAAACCCAAAGTGGAGCTGTGTCTCAGAGTGCCTGATTTGAACAAAAAAGCCAAGTGGAAGGGTAAAGCCCTGAGTTTTAGCCCCAGTACGTGTACCAAAAGTTAGAAAGGAAGAAAGAAGAGGAAAAAAAGGTAGAAAAGAAGAAAGAGATGAAGGAAGGAATAGAAAGAGGAAAAGAGAAAAAGAAAAAGGAAAAGCAAGAAGATGAAGGAAGGAAGGAAGAAATAGAAGGAAAGAGAAAGGAAAAGGAAAAGCAAGAAGACCCTGACCCACCAGAGCAGGGATTCCTGAGCAGTGTGGTCACATCAACAAGCAAGTCTGTCACAGGCAAGGCTGGGCTGGGCAAAGCTGGAAGGAAGGATGGCTGGGCTCTCAAGGAAGCCTCAAATTCATTGAGACAAACAGCTGTATATCAACTGCCAAATACAGTGCTCTGAAGGTCCAGCATCATGTTGTAGACCATTAATTTCTTACTGTGGAATGGGAGAGACTGCAGGAGATGGGCCATTTTCAGGGGAATGAGAGAGGCAATGGACCATCTCGTGTAGCTGAGTTGTCTTTCAGCATGATTTCACTGAATTGGGACAGCAAAGGGAGTCACGATAGTTTTCCAAAAAACAGTTTTCAGTAAAACGTTGGGTTAGAAACCGAGTGCTTAGACATCAGGAAACAGGGAGGAGGAATAGCTCAGGGGCCAGATGGATGTGGAGCCCTACTGTGGACTGGAGGAGAAGAGGAGAAATCGTATGGATAGAAGGGGACTCAGAGGGTCAAGGAATTTTCTAAAATGGAAGATTCTGGCGCTTGATCGAATCAGAGATTAAATGATGATGATGAAGACGGTGTCCACGGAGGAGTTCAAGAAAATGTTTCATTGGAATATAACACTAAAGTGGTTAAACTATCCAATAGGTTAGACCCTAGATAACAGGCACTTTTCTACCTGAAGGTGATTGGATTCGGTTGGTGAGATGCCTGAGCCCTCGTGCACAACTGAAGTACTTCACTCTTGAGCCACAAGGTGGCAGCAACCCACCACAAATCAGATACAAAGGAGCTGCTCAGGAGGGCTCCACCAAGTACATCCTCAGGCAGTTACTTTCCATTTTTCTATCTTCAAGTATGAAAAAGCAGCTGGGTGTGGTGGTGCATGCCGGACCTCTCTACACACAGGAGGCGGAGGCGGGACGATCTAAAGTTCAAGGCCAGCCTGATTCTAACAAGTGTTCAAATACCACATGTTCTTTGTGTTCTATTCACTGTAGGACTTACTATGTCACGTTGGGTATTACCTTCTGTTTCCAGTGTCAGTGATTGCAAGAAAAAAAAAAGACCCAACACAAAACCCTTAAATCAATGACCTGAGTAGAATATTCATTTAGGTAATGCTGGCCCTGCATGTACATGTGTTTTGGACAGTGGTTAATTGGAGATGAATCTCACAGGCTTTTCTGCCTGGGCTGGCTCTGAACTATGTT